CAAACATTTCTCATTCCATTTTTCTCGTATTCGCGCTAATGCAGTTCGACTCACAGCGATGACGGCAATGGGAAAGAAAAGGCGTGGTTTGCCCTTCCTACATCGGAACTGGCTCAAGACCACCAATCACTGGAACAAGATGGGAAACAAGTCATCTGTACCGGCCAAGGATTCCAATAATCCACCAGCTGTCGTCCAAGACGAGCAGCAGCCACGAGCGGCCAAGCGTCACAAAATCGACAACCAGTATGATGGCTTTCCATTGTACGAAAATTACGGCAAAGTGCAACGCGGTCTCCGCATTGAGATTCTCAAAGTTAGTCACAAAGATGCTCCGAGAGTTAAGAACGGCATCATGAACGGCCTTGTGCCTCCAAACGTTAGAGACGTCACCCAGATCAAAGCACGATGCAAGCTTTCAATATGGAGTGGTCAGGGAGGCCATCAGGTGATGCTTCATGTCGACAGTCAGGTTTGCGACATCAAGGTTTTCAAGAATCCTGCCGGCTCATCCCCAATGGCTCGGTTTTATGCCATCAAGCCTTTCCACATTCCCGATGAAAAGATTTTCCTCGAGCGAGATGACGACGCCGTCTTTGGTCTGGCCAACAGCTACTCCGTTCAGATCGAGCTGGAATCTGCTGGTGATCCCAATTGGCCCCCAGGCGAGCTCGTTTCCATGGACGATGATCCACTCTACAGTCGTGTTCTTCCTCGTCGGCAGTGGATGCTGACTGCCCACATTGTCGACATCTTTGGAACGAACAGAAATCGCAAGACGATGAGATTGAGGGTTAAAAAGCATCCAAATCATGAGGCGGCCACAAACTTTTTGATGGATGTGGACGTTCGCTGGGTGTCAAATATTTCAACTCAGCTTGCCATGAGGGAGCAGACCAAAGGTGTTTTGCCATCCATCCTGGTTGTAGATCCCACTGATCCTGTTCCTGAGGTGACGGCCAATGGCGTCAACGGCGTGAATGGCACGGATGAATATTCCTTGCACGATGAGGCAGACAAGGCTCTTTCTGAAATCCCAACACCAAATGGCATTCCTACACCTGAAACCATGGACGAACCTGTTCTTGCAGAGGGCGAGACTACACCTAGCAGGTCTCGTCGAGCTCGTCAGGACATCAACTACAACGTCAAACAGCTCTGGAGCAAAGCCGTAGGCAAGGAAACGAGGAAGCGCAGAAAGGAGAGCACAGAGGAGCAGGCACAGTTAGAGGAACACATCGTCACTTACCTCCTTCCCCCAGAACAGGTTCAGACCGAACGTTTCGGATGTTTGATTTGTGGAGCCGAGAATGAGAGACTCGGTCAGCTGCGTGCGCACTACCTCAGTCATCCCGAGTTTGAATTTATCTTTGAATTTCGTCCAAAGGGGGGTTACTGCGTGACGGTCAAGCCTGTGCCAGAGGCTCAGGCGTCTCCGCTGAGACCAAAGATCTTTCAGCTGGGTTTACCCATTAGACCATTGGATTTGGACAAGTTTGTCGACAAGAAGGGGGATGACACGTGGGTTTCTGAACGATTGGGACCTGATAATGATAAAGAGGTGGAGATCCCAAAGATGACAAGGAGTCAGAGTTCTTTGAGAGCCGCCACCCAACAACAACAGGTAAATTTGTTTTTTTCTCAATTTCTTTACCTCAACAGATTAAACTGACATTTTCTCGCTTTACAGATAATTCCGAATGTTCAACCCAAATTTCCGAGACCAGTGGTTCTGGTCCCCAAGACCAAACAACCACTTTTTGATCCGCTCAGCAAAGTTGCTCTGAAACCAGGTCAGCCGGTTCCGGTCTATCCAATCGATAATTCATGGCTTTTGCTCAAGCACAGGCAAAACCTTAACGATTTTATCGATTTGAAGCCCGAGGAAAAAGAGTACATGATGGAGTGGGATGCTTTTATTCTGCCACAGCATATAAGTTCGGAAGCGTTTCTGCCTCGTGCTTTTATTGAGTTTGTCACGCTCAAAGCTCCCTGGCTCGTTGCTAACAAAAAGAGGACAAGGGAGTTTGCGAAGCATATGAGCTTGTTAATTGCTCGACAGGTGCTGGGGTCTGATGAGGGTAATCAGATCATTGTGTTGTTGAATGATGCGCGGGCGGCGATGAATGCTGCTGGAGGACCAGAGGCTGCTGCTGAGGCTGAGGCTGAGCAAAAGGAGCCGCCGTTAAAGAGGATGGCAGGGCGTTGTTGGAAATGTGAAGAGATTGTGGGGGTTGTTCACATGGTTTATTGTTCAAACAGGGTATGTTTCACTTTTAACATCTACGTGGAATTTACTTTTTGGCTAACTGAAATAAACAGATATGCAAATTTAGACTTTATCACGATAAATGCGCAGGTATAGACAAGACGGTCAAGGGTTGGAAGTGTCCGAGGTGTGCAACAGATGAGGATGAGGACCATGATCTTGATTCTGCTCCGTCTGGATCCGAGTCTGGACAAAATAAGCGTTCGGCATTTTCTTAGAAGGGTATTGATATTGACGCCGAGGACGAGGATCTTGAAGGGAGTGAAGAGGGAAAAGGAAAAAGAAAGGCAACGGATTCTGTTTCTATTACTACTGAATCTACGGGAGTTGAACAGTTTTACTCTGACATTCCTGTTACTGCTGCTGATGCTGATGCTTCTTCTTCTTCTTCCAAGACGATGACTCATGCCAGTGGTAGCGGTGAAGGTCGGCAGTTGATTGTTGCTATTAGAAGGGGAGGAGGAGGAGGAAGAGAGGAGGCTGAGGGCTCTGGGGTGGGAGAATCCACCAATGAGCAGCAGTCGACGACTCGGTCTATGAGTCTTAGACTGCGAGGAGGAGGCGAGTCTTTGGCCTCCCAAGAGTCGAACGAGGACCAGCCGATTTCTCGACGACTTCGATCTAGGACTACTCGGGGTAGTCAAAACCCCGAATCTTCTTCTGTTGAAGGTGGTAGTGATGAACCTTTTGTGGGCTTACCGGGGGCTACTGGTGAGGATGAGGATGATCCGGAGAAAGAGAAGAAGAATAAGACGAGGAAGAGGAAGGGAGCAATAATCCCTGAATCTGATTCTCAAATTCTTGATGATACTACTACTGGGGGCATTTCTGGCGGTGTGATTGGTGTTGGTGATCCTACTAATAATCAGGAGAGTACCAGTGCCAGCGCTGTCTCTGTGAAAGCGGAGGAGGAGGAGGAGGAGACCGGCGGAATCACGCCAGCTAATAGTCCCTCAAATAACAGAAAAAGGCTGGCGGGGGCCAGGGGAAGAGTGTGGCCTATGGGCAGAGATGTGGAGTTCCAGCCGGAGGAGTGCAGGACTTCAGCGAGGCTTGCTGAACGTAGGGCTGCCAATTGTAAAAAGAGGCTTGCCGGGTTGGGGTTGAGTAATTTTTTAGTGAAGGGGTGAGTAGGAAGAGTGCCCCGAGAACCATGCGTATGCGTAGGTGTTTTTAACGTGTTAGTAGTGGCCGGTTGATTGGTAAGGGCGAAGGAGAGAGAGGAGGAAGGAGGAGGAAGGAGGGTGTAGATGTACGAGGAGGGTTTTTTTTTCGGTTCCTCAATTGTTGGTCTAGGTTTTTTATATCATGTCGGTTAGTAGTAAGTGTGGGTGTATATATATATATATATATAAATCTTTTTTTTTTTTTTTCTTGTTAAGGGGTTGTTGGTGCATGCATGTATTGGAGTCTGGGATTTGATGATTTGAGGAAGAAGAAGAAGAGGTGTTGCTGTTCGTATTGTGTAGAAGTGTTGTTTTATGTTATGGATTGTGGGGTTGAGTCATATGAAGAAGAAAATAATAATAATAATCATCATCATGTGGTGAAGGAGCAAGTAAGAAGGGAGATAATAGTATCTATCACATGGGGAGCGAGGGGACAAACAAAAAAAGTCACATGGTGGGGGTTTATAGAGAGGGGTGTCAAGCTCATTAAGTGATTGTTTGAGTTATTGTAGAAGGAGAAGGAATGAATATTACTACTATATGAAATGAATTGGTGTTTGTTTGCTGTTGTATGTATATGTGTTTGTCTTGATATTTGAACATGTGAAGAGGTTACATTGGGAGAATTGACAGCATCAAACGAAGTGAGTAGTCATTTTGATGGTCGAGGTTTTGGCGTAAATTGAGATTTTGGTGCCAGCTGTCTGAGGTAAACAAGACAATGGCTGCTTGGTTATGCCAATATTGTTTTAGTTTTTTTGAGTGATGGATAAGGAATATGAAGCAGACGAAGCAAGAAGAATGGAAATGTCTTTATCCTAACTTCCTGATGATGATGATGATGAACCACTATGCAATCACACTTTTATTGTCGGATGGAGATAAATGCACGACGGGTATACAAGACGGCTCAAAGCTGAGTGCCTTTGCTTATAACGTTTTCGAAAGGAATAGGGAGCCACGATCACCACCACTACCACTATCGACACCACCACCTCAACTTTAAGGGGGAAAGAAAGCACCCAAACCCCAGATGGTCCTCATTTTTTTCTCTCTCGGATTATTGAATGTCTTGCTGGTGTAAGGGATTTTTCACTGAATATCAATAATACTTGATGGTCATGGTTGGATGATAAAACCTCGTGATGGCATCTAACCTCCTGCAATGGCAGCTCCCAAGCATAATGCTACTCCGTCCACGGGGAAAAAGGGAAGAGGATTATACCACATGATACAAAACCTTCTGGACCAACTAACTAATACTTCAAAACCTCTTGTGTATAAAATGCGTGGGTGTAAAGGGAGAGAAGATCCTGTTCGGCCCGTTCTTTATATTTACAACTTCAGATCAGTCATTTAATTACATTCGTGTAAATAATTGTAGAGGGACCGCATATCCCATAGGGATGGAGGCACCGCCTCCAGCGGTGTAAGATCAATAATAATAATAATAATAATTTAATTACATTCGCTTTAATAAAGCATAGGTAACGATTATATATATATACTTTAATTTCCCCAGACAAGTTCAACAATGACTTATGTAACTTTTCGTCGGAACAGGGTGACTAGTCTAGTGGTCAGGACGCTTCGTTGTGGTTCGAGTTTAAACCTCGATAAGAACGACCGAAGAAACCCCGGTTCGATTCCGGGGTCGCCCATCATTTTTTCTTTCTTGAGAGAGTTCAAGTTGGATTTTCATCTCCAACGATTTGCCATCCTTTTTGAGCATAGTGGCTTTCATCAACACCACGGGAAAAACGAGTCCGGTTTTCCTCTTACTTTTTATACTCTATTCTCTCTGTATTCATTATATATCTCTAGATAGGTTTCTCTCTCTCTCTCTCTCCTTCTTTTACAGTCACTTTTTTCACAAGTAGTTCAAGTGGCTTCAAAGCATCCATTTAGTTAAGAGGCTATTGAAAGATAAAATAGCTTGCTAAATAAAAGCTCAAGCAGCTTTTAACAGGGCTAGTGGGATTATGGCTGCGAAAAAAAACAGCAGCATAGCCAATACCTTCAAAGGCGTCAATCTCTCGATTAAATGTGACTCCCTTTAAATCTTTGTCAAAGTGCCTGTAGAGGGAGAGAAGCTCCTGTTAGACCATTCTTTCTTTATATATATACCACAATTTTTGACCAGTCATTTGCAGCTTCGCTTTTAACAAGTGTACATAATTCTTGAGGAGATAATATATATGTCGAAATACAGAGTGTAGAGTAATAAGCAAAAAGAGCCGGATTTGTTTTCCCCAGTCTTGATTAAAGTCACCATTGCAAAGAAAGATAATGGCAAAAAGCATAAGATGCTTATCAAAATCCACTCACTCAAACTCAATTGCACCTCCAGAACACAAGCTTAACATGATACCGGATAGGCCTTATATTTTGACGTCTTTCGGCTGTCATGGTATGAGCTAAAACATCAAGGTGTAGACTCTGGGTTAGGGAAATAACGAAAGCAGCAAAACCGAAAGCATCATCATCGATAGAGCCAAAGAGAAGTAACCGAAATAAACACACCAAAGACAAAACCCAATAGGACGATGAACATGAGGATTTTGATGACATTGGTCAAGACCGCCAATAAACGGATGGCATATGGCCATCACGTTTATCTGACTGGAAGAACCTCATAACCGGATGATGACGACCAGAATTGAGGACGGACATACCCAACTCTCTAATCCCATCCGACAGCTTCAATCAGGCACCCACATCATCAGATAGGCAGATACACACCAAGCCACCATCCAAGCCATCCAAGTGACTCACCCTCCCCCACAAAAAAGCCACAAGAACCAACTTCCACTCATACTCCGCTAAATCAACCACATTTTCCCATCCCAAACTCAACAATTAAAAGAACAGCACAAAAAAAGCTGCGTGGCGCAGCGGAAGCGCGCCGGGCTCATAACCCGGAGGACCCTGGATCGAAACCAGGCGCAGCTAAATTTTTTTATCTTTTTTCACATACATACGTAGACCTAAAGCTTCTTCGATATCATATACCTAGCCATACATGCAGTATCATCATCATTTTTTAGGTACAAACAACTTCAAGCCAGCACATGATCCAACAGAGAGGCAAGCTGTCGATTTTATGTCCCGGACTAGATCCAACCGTGCAGAATTGCAAATGTCATGAGCACCAATCACCTTTAAACTTCATGTGTAGTGGTTGTCCGGGATCCAGATCAGGAGTTTCAAGATCGTTGGGAGAGAAACTGTTTTAGTGGACGGACTAATCAAAACCCAGCAGTATCATGATGACCCTCATCAACAGGCTCTACATCTACTGTGCAGCTGAGCACCCATTCAAACATCACAGTTCCAACAAGAGGTGGGCCAGGTTATGGCAGCTTATCTCAAATCACACAAGCACAAACAAATGTCCTCAAATTCACACCATGTCATCATCGCCCAAAAAAATCTCATTATAACCTCGCTATTATGTAGGGTAATTCCCCCCAATCTCAAATCTCAAATCTCAACTTCCGTCCGTATGTCTGTACCCGACTTGGGCTACATGTTTCTAAATATATTTAACTCCCCCTTAAAAATAATTTCTCCGTTGCCTTTCCCATTGGTATCTTTCACTTTCCCTTTCCCTTGCAATTTCCTTTCCATATGAATCAATTCACCTTCCCATTCCCGTCCGGCCCTGTGTTTCCCTTGTATATATAACCCGAGACAACTTAAAAAAGAAGATCAATCTCGAATAAACGACCGCCGCAAAGGAAAAGAAAAGAAATCAGAACACCACCAATTCACTCATCCATCCAATGATGAAAGAAAACAAACTCCACCAGCTGCCACCCCTTTTTTGTTTCGTTATAAAAAGCCCATCCATCCCCAAACGCCGTTTTAAATGCATCTTTTTGACCAATTACTACCCACCCAAACATTTTTGTACCCAGAGAAAAGGAGAGAACTGAACTGAATGCTTGAAAATGTAGGAGAAAACAAATTTACCAAGCCAACCCTCCATCCTCATAATCCCTGTCAGCTCCGTTCCAATCCTCATCGCTAGTATTATCCTCGGTATCATCGCGATCAAGAAAATCGTGCATGCCGTACAAAACTTCTGCATTCTTCTGATTATCAATGATAAGCTCGACCTTTTCGCACATCCCATGGCGGAAAAGAGGAGGTTCGGGCTCTTCATTGGTCTCTTGCTCTTCTTCCCCAGGAGTTTTCTCGTCGAGCGATGAAACGTCCTTATCCTCTCCACCAAGAGCCAAGTCCTCTTCATCATCAGTTTCTGGCTCCGCATAGCTAGGCCGCGACAACCCCGTCCTCAAATCCCGTACCACACTACTAGATCGAGAAGATAGACTGGATGGTCCCTCACTGTTATTCGAAGACAAAGATGTCGCCAACAAATCAGCAGCTTCCTGAGAGGCAGCAAGGAGCCTACTGCTCATCCGAACTGGACTCTCCGTCTCTGCCCAAGAACTGCCCTTCTGATGTCCTGGAGACCGCTTCTTGACCGGTGACATCTTGGGGAAAATAACCGCATGATCATGACGATAAACATCTGATCTAAGCGAATGAAACGGCAGGGGATCAATTTGTTCCCTCAAAAAGACCTTCTCAAACCTCGAGACCCATCTATCCCGAATCTCTGAACGCTGGCGAATCGGAATGTCCAATCGAATCTTCAAGTCGATGCAACGAAGTTTGAGCAAGTTGGGCGCCTCGTCAACGAGCGACCGAAAGAAGACTTCAGCAGCCTCGGGAGACCACTTTCTAGCATTCTTCACCTCCAAGACCTCCAAAGTCTCAGGCCACTGAGGTACTTCCTCGGGCGTCATAATGAAATCGTAGTCCGGCTCCGTCTCAAAATATCTAAACTCGCGTTGCGGATAAATCTGAAAGTCGACTGAGAGAGTAAGCAGCTTGGGACAAGCAGCCTTGAGGCAAGTCAAGAAAGCAAGGGTAAGCCTCGGGTTGTGCTGCAGACTCAAATGCTCCAACTGACTGCCGTGTGACATCAAAAAGGACGCCAATGCATTATCATCGACCTCCCAGCATCTGAGCAGAGTAAAAGACCTGAGACTCTTGGGCAAAAGGTTGAAAAGAGGGGTGTTAGCCACAGTCGAGTAACCAATCGAAAGATGTTCCAAAGTCGGAAGCAGCTGAATTGACTCTGCGATTCTCTCAATGAGTTTGTCGTCGTTATCCTTAATCTCAGCCAGCTCCTCAAGGGTCGGATTAGCCTTTGGTCGATGCAAAACCGAAGGCAACTGAAAGTTAAGCAGATCAAGTCTCTTGAGATCCGAGAACGGTTTCGTCTGGTGAACCTTCTTGACTTGCTCAAAAGCCTCCGTAGTGTCGGAGCCCAAGAACCGGCGATTCCAGATCCAGCGGTCAAGTCTTGAGTTCGCGTCCTGCAAAGCTTGGAAGAGCTCATCCGGGTATGACCAACGAATAGGGTCATTCATTTGCTTCCACTCTGGTTCATCCTTCCAGTGCCAAAAGCTGAGGAACTTGAGCCTCGAGAGGTTGCCGACAAGAGCTTTGTAATCGAGCTGTTCGCCCTTGTAGGATTTGGAGGCAATTTCAGCGACGTTGATGCTCAAAGTCTTGATCTTGGGTTGGTAGTTGTATAGGGTTGTGCTTGGGTCCTTTAAGAGCAACGCTGTCAGGCTGTGGGCCATGGATCTGGACACAATAGGTGGGGCACGGTAGAGGGCGGTCAAGGCAGCTTCCGACAGCTCGCGGCAAATGGTGCTTGCGGACAGAAGCCACTGAGCACGGCGGCGCTCATCCTTCTCGCGATCCTCATTGACTACCATGGATGCAGCGTAGTCAAAAATGTCGACCCAGAAGCGATAGGGTACATCGAGCCACTTTGGCACGAAGGGTTTGACGACATCTTGACCGTTTGTCGTTGCGACGGTGGTTTCGGCCTTGACGACCTTTCTTGGTGATTCCAGATTGGTGGTGCGCAATTTGAGGAGCACAGGACTCTGTTTCTTGGTAGCCTTGTAAGTCCTCGGGTTCGGCGACGGCGACTGATCCACAGGAACAAGATTTAATTGGTGCGGGTGGTGGGGGTTGTCATTGTTAATTTGCAACTCCGCCGCAGCCTGATCGTAGTCCTCATCGTCGGTACTGGGCTCCACATAGGAACTGGTCTGGAGACGAGCCCTCTTTGAACGCCGGGTGCTGGTAGTTGGGAGAGTTGATGGTGCAGGGCGCTTGCTGTGTGACCTTAGGGAGTGGCGGACGGGCGGCGAGCGAAGGGATATCTGGCTCCGAGTGTTGCGGCCGTCGACGCCGGGATTATAATCTTCTGTGTCCCAGACTTCATATCCTTGGCGCTCTGACATAGCAACAAATGATACAGATGCATTCCCTGGTGATGCACCAGTTGCACCACCGCTTCGAGTCCTCATGGTGAATTGATCTATTGAAGCATGAGAAAAAGTGAAACTGCGTAATTTGATTTCATGCAGAAATTGTGAAAATAGGGGATTTGTTCAAAGGACAAAAAAATGTGTAACTCGGTGATGGAGAGAGAGCGACGGCTGGGAGAGTTCCAAGTTCCAGGATTGCTTGAATTGGAGAATTGGAGAGTCGGATGCGTCCAGCTACTGCCTTTCAAATAAGCGGCCCGGGTGTGTGGGGCAGCTTGGCACAATGATGTGGGGCA